GTATACAATATGTCTTGCTTTATACACTTTAAACCATTGGTGTGGTAAAGGTGAAAATAAGACTTAACAACATTAGACTTGGATTGGGGTTTTCATCGTCCTTGGTCGTGATTATTAGAGGTGTTTTGATAAAAGGAATTGTTTTTAGAATATAAGGGCAGGGTTTTAATATAAAAGAGTTTTTTTACTCTAGATATCGGCTATGGGTTGATAAAGGCTATATCAACACAATCTGGTTATTTTTTCTTTCTTATATATAAACATAAATTACAAAAACAAACAAAAAAAAACATGCAATTTCGTGCATAGAACAGATTTTAAACCAAACATAACATTAATTAGTAATTAAAATTGCCACTTACAAAAAAGACTAAAAACAAATGAGATTTCTAATATAAAAAAAATTGACAACGAAACTAACTTATATATAAATAACACCCTTACTTAAAGATATGAACTAAAATTTTTATTTTTTTATTAATTTTTTAAAATATCTGAAAAATAAAAAAATGTTCTAATATTATACAAACATAACTAAAAATTGAAAATACATGGAGAAAATTTTTTTTATATTTAAAAAAATAATTTAGTTGAATAAAAGTAAATTAAAATTATAAATGGCTTATAAAAATATTAAAATATAAAAAGCTTCGTTTTAAAAGCAAATACCTCTTGTAAAGATTTAATTGGATTATATTTTCGCTGATAGGATCTATATAGCATACAGTTTATATATATAGAAAGAATTATATAATAAATTCTTAAAAAATCCTTTTAAAAATCTTCCTTTGCACTTTTTACCACGAAAGTGATAAAGAAGTAGCAACTCTTTATAATATATACTTTATATAAAAACGATTAGCGATAGCACACCAATCATGACAGTAAAAAATTTAATGTAATGATATTTTTTATTTATTTTTTATATGTTTCTTTTTTAGTATTTTCGTACGGCGAATAAAGGAAACTTAAAAACCTGAATATTTTTATCATAAATTAAATATACATATTTTTTTAAAAAAATATACAAATAGAGCCTTTTGATACCTAAAATATTCAAAATGAAATGAATACAGCACTTAATATTTTTAAATATTATAAATTATTTAAAAAGCAAATCATAATTATTATTGTCGAAAAATAATTTTTAATTTTTTTTATAAAACTTAGATTTTTTGATATAGAAGATCTAACCTTTACTAAAAACATATTTTAGTATTATATTGTGGTACATTTATTATACTAAAAAATGCTAATGATTATACAAATACAATTTTTTGTAAAATTATTGTATTTGTTTGATTTATTTTCGCATTTTTTCTGCAATCGTTTTTATATTCTTAATAAAGTCAGAAAGAAATCAAGTATATAAAGAATAATTCAAAAAAATTATGCCCCAAAAAATATTTTTTAGCATTTTTTTAAAACGAGTTAAGTAGGTCCAAGAAAGGAACGAGATTGTAAACCAGAACAAATCGTGCTAGTTAAATCTGGATGTGTTTAATATTGTAGAGCGATTCCTAAAATTCAATTAAAAACATTCTAATAACAGCAGATCTATAGTAATTCTTATTTTGAAGCTCAGTTATTTATAAAAAATTTCCCCTTTTTAAAAAGTAAATAAATTATATATGTTGGGCTAGAAGTATATGAACCTGCAATAAATCGATTTAAAACTCTTTGCTGGTGTTGATTTTGAAAGAACCCGATTAACTGATTTATTTATTAATTTTATTTTTAGAATTATAAGTATATATTACCCATAGAGAATATTTCTTTAAAGCAGATGCTCAAATGGTTACTCAACACGAGACCGAATATGCATATAATTCGGTATTTTAGCACAGTTCATACATAAATTTCAAAAATGTATTTTATACTATTAATAATAATTTTATATGAATACTGTAAAAATATTTCTTTTGAATATAAGCCAAGAGTTAATATATGTCATAGCTAATATTCATTATAATTAATCAGAAAACACAGAAAAAATCGAATATTTTTTTTATATTTTAAAATCAAATATATATAAATATATTTAAAAAAACAATTCAAAATATTATATCTAGACCAAATAAGTTAATCAATTTTTTATATAAAAAATGTATACCGTTAAAAGATGTTCAAAAAAAGTTCGGAAATTAAAGATTTCGAATATAAAACAAATTTCTTTTTTTTTTCAAGATATATAGGCTAAAATTGAAGAATAAATAATTTGCCTTTAATATTATTTTACAAATGTATCTTATACAATGAAAATTTGATTATTATTCGTGAAGAATAAAAGTGGGTATAATGACATGTTATTAGAAAATATATTATAGTTGATGTAATTTAATAAACAGAATAACAATTTCTATTTTACTATGCTTATATATTTTAATTTTAAATAATTAATTAGAAAACAATAAATTTCTAATATTCTAATTGTTTTGAATAATAAAAAATAAGATTTAAGTTGTTTAGGATTTCTTTGACAAAAAGTAAGGACCTTATTGTAAAAAAATTAACAATACCAAAAGATTTCTTATATGTTATTTAAACTTTTATGATTAACATCAGATTTTTTTATTTTTTTAATCAAAATTGCAAAATATTTACTTCTTCATTTTGGTTGTTTTAGAATCTTAATCTTTCGTTGAATATTTCGAATTTGTTTAAAGTAATTGTTTTATGTATTATTGAAAGGCTTAAGATAAACTTAATTCTTTTGTAATTCTGTTAAAAATAAACTAAATTAATTTGTTTTGAATGATCTAAATGCTTTTAATATTATACTATTTTTGCTATTTGGATATATCTAATCTAGTTTTTTTTTAATATTTCAGTGAAATGACAATAGCATAATATTCGAAATATTTGTAATAAATAATATTCGATCTATGAAAATAATAGATAAGAAATCAATTCCTAATATTAAATTTATATACTCTAACATATAAAAAAAGTACTATCTTTAATTTCAATAAGAATTTGAATTTTTTTTAACTCTAATTATTTACTATTCAGTTGCAAGTTTCATTATAATTTTTTATTTCAATTCAAAAAGCAACATATTGTTTTTTAGTTATGAGTTTCATTTAAAGTTTTCAAATTTAAAGGTAAAAAATAAAAAAACATTATAAAAAATCTGGAAATTTTTCTATTTTAATAGAGATAGTTATTCAATTATAAGTTTCATTTTTAGTTTTCAAATTATAAGTTAAAAACTAAAAAAACATTATGAAAAATCTGGAAATTTTTTTATTTAAATAGAGATAGTTATCAATTTATTAGTTTCATTTAAAGTTTTTAAATTTTAAGCTAAAGAATAAAAAAACATTATAAAAAATCTGGAAATTTTTTATTTTAATAGAGATAGTTATCAAGTTATTAGTTTCATTAAAAGTTTAAGTTAAAAATGCAACTTTCAGTAAATCATATTATTAACTTAGTCATAAAAAGTTTTTTTTATTTGAATATTCAACTATTCTTATAATAACACAATCTACTATTAAAAATAGCATCACCTCCTCTTCGTTGAAAATTAATTGTACCCCATTAAATGACGAAAAAATTCCGAATCGACTTTCCAGCAGAATTCCAGCAAGCATTGATCCGATGCTACTGTCATCTTGGCGGAAAAAAAGTAACAAGACAATGCGAAAACTACGTGTACGCTGTTAGACCGGAAGACGGCATCCACATCATCGACATAAACCTACAATGGGAGAAGATAATTTTGGCTGCCCGTGCGATCTGTGCAATTCCTAATCCACAAGACATCATCGTCTGCAGTTCTCGTGAGTACGGCCGAAAAGCAGTTCTTCGTTTCTGTGAGTACACAGGTTGCACGCCGTATGTTGGAAGGTTTATTCCCGGCATGTTTACCAACCCGCAAATCAGAAAAATCAAGGAGCCACGGTTGGTTGTTGTTGCCGATCCGTTCACTGATAAACAGACAGTTTATGAAGCTGGTTTTGTGAACACACCGTGTGTGGCTTTCTGCAACACGGACAACGACCTCGATTATGTTGATATTGCTATTCCAATGAACAACAGAAGCTTGAATGCAATCGGCGCTGGGTTCTGCATACTCGCAAAGGTTGTCAAGTTTATGCGTGGTGAGGCAGGTTTGACTGATAATTTGAAGTTTGAGATCGAGAGGTATTTCTACAGGAATATTGCAGAGTTGGAGGAGCTGGCTGCTGAGCAGGAGGCTTCCAAAATGAAGCAGGAAGTCGATTTTGTTGAGCCGAAAGAAAATGTTGTCCAGGAAGGCGAAGAACAGGCTGCTTGGGGATAAGTCAACCATTTTAATCGAAATAAATTATTACGAAATAGTATTTTTTTGTTTTTACAAAAATTGATAATTTTGATTTCTAAATTTTCATCTGTAATTCACGTTTACTTTATGCATTTAAAAAAATAAATAGTTTTTTTTGAAATTTTTACTCATTGCGTTTTTAAAAAATTAAATCAGAAAGCTGTTGAAATTTTTACCTAAGCGTTGGTAAAAAATAAAATATTTTAATTCACCATTAAAAATTTTTAAATTAAAAAACAATAGTTTATTTGAGATGCTTACTTTATGCTTTTTAGTAAAAACATAATAACCTCCTCGAAAACTACGGTTTATTCATTTTTATATATAACAATAGTTTTCATTGAAAATTTTTTATGTACATTTTATATAATTAAATCTGTACAGTTTCCATAGTTTTTTGCGCTATCTTCATTCTAAATAATTTGAGAATTTCAAAATTCCTGTCTTCCATGTTTTTTTGCAATTCCATGTACCTGTCTATTTTAAATCCTACACAATCGTTGGGTATCCATGAGCCTAGAGTATTAAAATTTCTCACATATGATCAAAATACATTTTATATTTGTTACCATCACAAATTACTTTATTAATTATTAAAGGAAAATATCTTTGCTTTATTTCTTCGTTTTTGTGCACTTTTAACTATAACAGATTTTAATATTTATTATAATATTTATTTCAAATTTTTACAACTCCCATAGCTCAGCTGGTTAGAGCATTGTACTTATGAGCTGTGTTCCAGTCATATGCCGCGTAGAAATGCAGGGGTCACGGGTTCGAATCCCGTTGGGAGTACTTTTTTGATCTGCAATACAAAAAAAATAAAATTATAATTGAATATAATATTTCATAGCTTTTATTATACTCATACTCATACCAACTTAAAGTAATAAAATTATACAAAGAAAAGTATAGCCTTTTAGTCATCCATTATATTTTTTATCGAATATGCTATTTAATTTGAAAAACATTTTTATTGCATCTAATTCTTTACGATATCTTTTTTTTTGTAATTTACTGTAATTGATATTATGTGCCTTCTCTACATCCAGAATATTTTGAATTGAAATTTTTGATATTAAAATATTTGAAGTTCTTTTTTTTTGAAAATTCTTGTAAATTTTTCATTGATTGATTGTATTATAAATATTATATAAAATTATATTAAAAGAAAGATGTAAATCAAAAAATTATTCGTTTGTAAATTTAATACTAACTATTACATGAGTTTAATAATATTATATTTGTGAAATATTTAATATTCTTAAAAAATTAACATATTTTCAAACACACACTAATATTCTAAATTAAATTAACTTTGAAATAAGTAAAGTTTTTAGACATGAAAAAATAAAAGAATATTTGTAAATTTTGAAAAATTATTCGAACTGGAAAGTGGTCATTCTATAGAAATCGTTATTTATTAAATTGAGTTGTTGCAAATTGATTTTCATTCATTTGAAAAAAAACAATTTTTAATTTTATTGTAGAAAGAATTTTTAAAATATCGATTTTTTTGTTAAGAAACTCTATAAAACATTTTACGAAAATTTTTATATGAAAATGCTATAAATTATTTCATATAAGTAAATTTAATAGCCTAAGCAAGAATTTCATAATTTCATACAATTGTAGCTAATTTTTTTTATACAAATCCTTTAATCAATTTTATAAAAAAAATTAACTTAGAAGATATGTAGAATAAATTACAGATTTATATGTCAAGTAAAATAATAAAGCCCATTACAAAAAATATGATTTACCTAATTGTATTATACGAAGATTACTCAAAAATTATTTAAAACAAGCAATTAATTTTTTTTTTGATTTTTTTTATCTACTTTTGATTAAAAATCGTAGAAAATAATATCTAAAACCATAAATTTGTGGAATTGTTTAATATCTGGGCAGAAGTCTGCTATCGGCGAGTTGGTTATCTTTTTCTTTGGATGTGTATCAAATAAGTGAATTTTTAAAAGATGAAACTTATTTATAAAATAATTATTATGAATAACTAAGGATAAAAAATGGTTTGATTTTAAAAAACTATTATCACATATAAATTGATTTATTGCCTTATTTTTTTCTTTCTTCTAAAATGTTTTCTTCCTTTTGTTTTTGTCCTATGATTTTTATTTTTCTTGATTATCCTAAAAAGTAAATTTGGACTTTTGCTATCATAAACACTTCATTATTCCTAATTTCCATTTCTGCATATATTAAATCACAAAATACCGTGGATCTTATAATATAACGATTACATTTGCTTCTTTTTGGTTTGTGATCATTTGAATCTTCCACATATCCATTTTGTTTATAATAACTTTTTATTGTGTTTTGTGCGTGAAATTTATACACAAAATAAAAAATAGACTTTTTATCATTCAAATCCAAGTTATTGTTTTATCAATGAAAAATAATTCTTTTTTTATTTACACTAATAAAAATATATTCAACGTGGATATTTTGATATTTATGTAGAAATATTTATTTTTTTGTAACCGGATTTAAATATGCACGATATTTTAAATGTTTAAAATTCGTGTGTAAAGATTTTTATTTCAACCTTCAATCTCATTTTGTTTAGTAAATAACAAACACCAAAACCATTTAATATAAAAATCAAAAACCATGACTCTGTTAAATTCATTAATTCAAGAAATACCAAATTGAATTTGATAATTGGAAAACAAAATTTTTTCAAATAACATTGAAATTATTGCAAAAAAAGACTAGTACTATAATTATTCATTGGTTTTGTTTTAGTTTAATATTTCGCCCATAATAAGAAAGAATGTACAAGAACATAACAAATGCCATTGCGGGAGAGAAACTGCTAAAAATAAACAATAGATGGAAAAATCAAAAGACAAACAATATTGAATGGTCACAGAGTATAAATAATTTTGACTTTACATATAATTACATTTTTGTTTTTTTTTCTTTGCGTAATGAGAATTTAAAAACTGGTTTTATCGTCATATATTAATATGATATCGTGATTTAGAAAAATATGCATTAAATGTTTTTTGTTTCAACATTTTTTGTAAATATTCCATTAATTTTCTAAAAAAAAATTAAATATCGAAAAAACGTTCAAATTGATTTATCACATTTTTACATCTAATATCGTAATAAAGAATTTATCATTGCTTATTTTCAGCTGAATTTCAAATTAGAAAAGGCATTAACTTTTTAAAAAAATAAACCAAAAACTTTCAATTCAATCACTATTTTTTCAAGTAAAAAATATTAAGTAATTAGTGAACGCTCTTACCATTTTATATTTAATAACATTTTAATTTAAGGAAAAATAAAAATATTAAAAATTTCCAATATATACAGTTTTATATAAAAATTCTAGAATCGATAAAATGATTTCAACTACCTTCACGTATTAGATTAAAATACATTGATTGTTTTTTTTCTCATATTCATATTAAAAAGATTGAAACATCGAAATAGTTGATAAAATATCTATTCTATCTGTTAGTAAAAAAATTCAAAAAAAATTAGTTTGAAAAAGAAAAAGTTGTCACATATTTGAGTGATATAATTTATTCCAAAATGAGAAAAATTTTGAAAAAACGAAAAAAACCAAAAAACACTACAGATGCTTAACGATGATCATGAA